CCCTCCAGCTCTACCTCCTCCAGCGCTACCTCCTCCCTCCAGCGCTACCTCCCTCCAGCGCTACCTCCTCCAGCTCTACCTCCCCTCCAGCGCTACCCTCCTCCAGCTCTACCCTCCCTCCAGCGCTACCTCCTCCAGCTCTACCCTCCTCCAGCTCTACCCTCCCTCCAGCGCTACCTCCTCCAGCGCTACCTCCTCCAGCTCTAACCTCCTCCAGCGCTACCTCCTCCAACGCTACCTCCCTCCAGCTCTACCTCCCCCAGTGTCCCCCTTCACAATCCACTTTAACGATCCCTTCTACTGGTCTTCCTCATCCTCTTGTTTTTATGCATCCTCTGTGACTGGTGTTTGCCCCCGCCTTACCTTGATCCCTGTGTTCGTTCTCTCTGTCTGTCTCCTGGGAACAGTTCAGAGAAGGTCTTCCACGAGTACCTGTTAAAGTGAGTGAGTGAAAATAAAAGATTTACTCACACTTGATCAGAAAGATTAGAGTACATTAACTTATAAAAGGTAAATAGTACAGGTAAGGTAATTAATATGTACTTCAGGTGATATACGAATGGGAATGTTGGTATGGTACTGCTAATTAAAGGTATTTGCCGAGACAGGTAGACAGGTAAATAGTGTGTGTGTGTGTGTGTGTGTGTGTGTGTGTGTGTGTGTGTAAATCAATGTTTAAATCCCTGAACTGAGGCCTGAGCAAGTTTTCTTTTTACACACACACACACACACAACTACACACACACACACAGAGCGGCATCATATCGAGTTTGACCCCTTGACCCTTGATCTGACCAGTCAAGCAAGGCCTGTTACGTGTTGTGTACCAGATAAAGGGAGTTAGTGGAGATTAATTATTTTAGTTTTTGGTGACCTCTGACCTACTAACCCTTTTCCTCTCCTTCATCCTTACTTCCTTCTCTTCTCCTTCTTTCTCATCTTCCTTCCCCTCCTCCTCTTCCCCTACCTTCCTTTCTTCCCTCTTCCCCATCATCCACTAAGCTAACCTTTCCTTACCTAACATAGTTAACTGAACCTAACCCAACTTGAACTAACCTTAACTGTCCTAACCCAACCTAAGGTAACCTAACTAACCCAAACTAACAAACCCTAACCAAAAATAACCAAATCTAACCTAATCTAACCTAAAATAACCTAACCTAACCAGGAACCAACCAAACGACCCTTCTACCCAGAGTTCCCACGGGTCGACAACTGTCCGTGTCAGTCATATTACCAAGCGCTCGTCCTTGGAAGGGGTGGGGGTGGGAGGGTCTGGGAGGAGGAGGGTCAGAGGTCAGTGGTCAGACCCGCCCATTTGGCACTTGGGGTTTTGCCCCAGCGAGGCCGTGGGTCACGTAGTGCAGGTGGTGACTCTGAGCCCCCCTTCCCCTCTCTTCTCTCTCATCTCTCTCTCCTTCTTCTCCCTCCTTCCCCTGTTGCCCGGTTACCTACTCATCTCCCCTCCCACCTCCCCCTAACACAACTACCCCTCCCCCCTCCCTCCCCTCCCCACCTCTAGTCTTGGGTAGAAGTTATTCGTCCAGTACCAGGGACCCCCCACACACACCTCGGCGCCTTCAGGTGACACACAAAGTTTACTGGTGGCGTGGTGAGTGATGCTGGGGCCTGGCGGCTGCTGATGTATGAAGACTTCTCTATTAGGGCAGAACACCAGCCCCGCCTACTGATATACGAGCTACGACTTGGGAATAATAATGTACACAAGAGTCCATGTTGCTACCACGGTGGAAAACGCCATATGCTCAAAGTTAAACAATGTACCACGAACAGCCCCTCTTTAATTTTTCAATGCTAAATAACTCAATTAAATTTATGTTAATCTCATCAAAAATACTATATAATCCTTAGTTTAGATTATATATGTATACGTAGTTTTACTTGGATTTTTTCCGAAAAGAAATAAAGATAGATTAGTTAGCGAGTCTTTATGTGGTAGTTTTTTAACATTAACTACCTTGCTTTGAAAACATAATTTATGTTTATCACAGAAAACGGATAGTGTCTAGGTCGTAAAATATTTGGGTAACTATTGTACATGACTACTGACGCTCGTTTCAGACCATTGTGTCGGCTTTTAAATTCTTCGACCCTCTTTTGTGTGTGCTAATGTATGGCTAAAAATACAAAATTATCTGTATTTTTGCATATAAATGAATACTTTTTTATACTTTTAAGAAGATTTAATAGGATATCTATGCCACGTCCGTACGATTGCATATAGGGTTAATGATATGCAACTTAAAACATGCAGTGAAAAGCAAAAGTTTAACCCCGCAGAAAGTAAGTTTAGTCTTTGTTCATCTGATCTGAGGGAGACTTGAAGCCCCTTCCTACCTCATTGTAGGTCAGCACGAGGCCATTAGTGTACAGAGGAGCTCATCTAGACTTTAATTGCCTCACAAACAACAAACACATATTGGTTACCAGAGATGGATTTAACTCAACCCGCACACCCACACACACATCACCCCACACCCACACACACTCCTCCTCCCCCCCTATATATCACAGGTCAGCGCCTTTAACGGGGTGTGGAGGATGAGGCCTGTACTTCCCTGACCTTGAACGGTGAAGTGTGGGAAGCCTGCATGAGAGGGTAAACAAGGTTCATTTTCTCAACTCTTATCCCTTTCTTTCCCCACCTTTTCTCCTACACTTCCCTATCCTTATCCCAACCCTCTCTTTCTCATTCCCCCCCACCTTTTCCTCACCCTCTTCCTCATTCCCCACCTTTCCCCAACCTTCTCTCCACCTTTTCCTCCTCACCCTCCTTCCCTAAGACGCGGGAAGAACAACTGAATTCCCTCTGTGTACATCCCAACACCCGGATTTTAGCGACATAACATTAACTTGTATTTTTTTCTCTCCATTCAGTAGAGGCTGTGAGGAGGTGTATATTTCAATAGTGTCAGGGGCTCTTTGTGTTGTGGTGGCACCGTATCCCTGTGAGAATATCACATCACCTGGAGCTATGATTAAGTACTTATGCTACGTATAGGACAGCTTTGTTTGGTTATTTTCGTCGTTTTTAACTTATTGTTTGTATACCTGTACATTGTTTGTATACCTAGACTGTATGTATATTGTTTGTAAGCTTGTTCTGTCTATACACATGCTAATTCAATGCTATCTCACTTTAACAACGACGTCCCTTAGGTTAGGTTACTTTAGGTAAAGACCATTCTCATATCACCAGTTAAACCTGAAAACTAATATATGTTAACAGTTGTAGTCGTGTGTATGTGCCCCAGTCCTTACAGTTAGGGGCGTGACTGTGCAATAACTGTCACTTTTGCTGTCTGACTGGCTTGAGAGGAGAGGACGGGGAGAAAGAAAGGAGGGAGGGAGGAGATGGGGAGGGAGAAGGGAAGAAAAGAGGAGGAGGGTAGAATAGGATTGGTCAAGAATAATAATGCGTTGTATGAAGGACACAATGACGATAGTTAGATGAAGCACTGTAAACAGATGACGCAACGATTATGACGTAACGATACAATACGTCACTTATACAAACATACAGACGTAAACAATTAAGGCGTCACTAAACTACCTTTCCATAAGACTTAATTGACGTCTGAAACATATGCAAATGAACCAGTAACTCCTTCGTGTCAGGTGAGTGTGAGATGATTGTACAGGACACCTCTCATCTACTCACTAATGCATGCAAGGAGAGTTACCTGTCTGCAATAGTAAGAGCCCTGTGCACTTAGACGCTGATAGAGAATGATTTATTGTGAAGGTCATGTGGGAGGGAGGGAGAGGGAAGGAGAGTGGGAGGGAAGGAGAGGAGAGGGAGAGGGAAGGAGAGAGAGTGGGAGGGAAGGAGAGAGAGAGTGGGAGGGAGGAGAGTAATAGGTAGAAGGTAAAATGATGGCGGCTATTTACGTCAGGTGGAGGGTGTGAAGGAGAGAGGGACTTGTGATGGATGGTGTAAAGGAAGTACTAATTTATTCTATTAATTAGTCAAAGTGTAATTCCTACTTAATCAACAAAAACAAATCCTCATTAATAATTAGTCTTAAATACTACACAAACGTTCCCTCTAAAAAATCCAGGAAAATCGACTTTCTTTTAACATCAATCTTTACATAATTGCCTTTGTTGATACTCTTGACGTCACACTACTAACGTCATTCCAATTGCACGAAATATTGAGTAAACGAAGGCCCTAAACTTATTTTTCCCACGAATTAATATTTAGGGTTTTTATGTATTAAATTTCCTTCTTATTGTTGTCTAAATTAAATTATCGAGTGTGAAAAGAAGATTTATATCGCGATTTAGTGTAAACTTGAATGCGAGAAAGTGGGAGAAGGAGAGTAACGGAAGCGACCATGACGATAAATATCAAGTCTATATTTAGATCTCCCTCTCAGCATCCCTCCTCTTTAAGACCCATATTTAGTTACAGTATGTTCTCTCCTCTTCATTCTACAGTTATTATTTATTTATTTTGGTGTTTAATCATTTAATTACCGCCGCTCTATCTACGTCTCCTATACAAATGTCTCTATCCACCATCATCATCCCAGGAGCCAAGCGGGCCATCCTCTCCTTCCTTCCCTCTCCCTCCTGCTGGTCACGCGAGTTCCTTCCTGGGTATTCCCGCGTCGCCTACACCTATCACTTATTGTTTTTTCTTCGTCTATATTTGCATTATTTACTTACCAAGAGAATTAAATACAATTTCAGACTTTGAATTATTGAATCTTATCAGTTTTTTTCTGTATTTTCTTTACTCACTGACGCTATCTATGTATGACTATTTGTAACTGTAACTAACTGTAACTATATATGTATTATACAAGTGTTTATGAGTATACGTATATAGTTAAAACCTGTATGGGCATATTATACTTTCGTTCGTGTTTTAAACCACACCTATAAACCAAATCTTCCTATGTAACTGTAACTACTGTAACTGGTTTAACTCTTACAGGAACACCGCTGTAACTGTGACCTTATTCTTACAGGTGTTGTGGACGGCGCTGAGCCTGGCACTGGGAGTAGAGGTTCAGGGAGATAATCAGAGGTTTGCCCTGCATCAAGTAAATAAACGTGCACCGCCGGTAGTGCGTATCCTCAGTGAGTGCCAGGTAGTGTTTACCTTCAGTGAGGTGCCAGAGTAGTGTTTACCTTCAGTGAGTGCCAAGGTAGTGTTACCTTCAGTGAGTGCCAGGTAGCGTTTACCTTCAGTGAGTGTCAGAGTAGTGTTTACCTTGTGAGTGCCAAGTAGTTTCTCCTCAGTGAGTGCCAGTAGTGTTTACCTTCAGTAGTGCCAAGTACTTCAGTAGTGCAGTAGTGTTTACCTTCAGTGAGTGCAAGTAGTGCCTATCTCAGTGAGTGCCAAGTAGTGTTTACCTTCAGTGAGTGCCAGAGTAGTGCCTATCCTCAGTGAGTGCCAGAGTAGCGTTTACCTTCAGTGAGTGCCAAGGAGTATACTATTTATACATAAGTAGACAATGAGGCGTAGAAAGGTAGATGAATATGTAGATAGTATGTAGCATATAAGTAGATGGAAGTAGATTAATATATTTCTGGTAGATAACTAGTTAGAAAGAGACAAAAATATTAGTATAACATAAAGTAGACGATTTAAGTGGTCAATGTAAATAGACAACCAGTAGCGAAGTAGAAATGAAGGTAGATAAGTAGATTGATTTTGTCTTGTGTTACAGGGAGAAGATAGAGCAGTTTATTGAGGACAACAAGGCTTTGATGAGAAGAATGTATGGCAGTTTCTTCGATAATCTGGACACACTACAACTACAGAGTACTGGCAGTATAGGACAGGTGAGTGCCACTGCCTTACCTGAGTGTCACTGCCTTACCTGAGTGTCACTGTCTTTCCTGGGTGTCACTACTTTACCTGGGTGTCACTGCCTTTCCTGGGTGTCACTGCCTTACCTGGGTGTCACTGCCTTACCTGGGTGTCACTGCTTTACCTGGGTGTCACTATCTTACCTGGGTGTCACTGCCTTACCTGAGTGTCACTGCCTTACCTGGGTGTCACTGCCTTACCTGAGTGTCACTGCCTTTCCTGGGTGTCACTGTCTTTCCTGGGTGTCACTATCTTACCTGGGTGTCACTGCCTTACCTGGGTGTCACCAAGCCTTACCCAAGTGTCACCATCTTACCTGGGTGTCACCGTCTTTACTCCAAAAGGTCTATCTTACCCGTGTTACTGTCTTACCTGGGTGTCATCATCACTGCCTTACCTGGGTGTCACTGCCTTACCTGAGTGTCACTGCCTTACCTGGGTGTCACTGCCTTACCTGGGTGTCACTGCCTTACCTGGGTGTCACTGCCTTACCTGAGTGTCACTATCTTACCTGAGTGTCACTGTCTTACCTAGAACACCACTACCTCTTCCCATCCGACCTCCCCCTCTTCCTCCCACACATCATCACCATCATCATCATCATCATCAGACCAAGAAACTCACCATAAACACAACACACTTCCCTCCCGCACTACAACTTATACACAGGATTTAAAACACTGCCCCCTCCCCTACCCCCAAAAAAGTATCTGAACACTTTAAATTAACTCTTGGTTCCACAGTTTCAGCGATCGCAAGGAGGAGGTGGAGGTGGAGGTGGAGGAGGTGGAGGAGGAGGTGGAGGAACAAGTAGCCGTCCTTTCAGCAGATCAGGACGCTCAGTTGACGCCTATGGGGATCAGATACCAGAGCTTAACACTGATTACCACCCTGATGACAGAAGGGGCGAGTCATACTTCAATCTGATCCGCAAGAAACGGCAATCTTTCCCCGATAATGCTAACGCTAATGCTGACAAGTAGGTGGTCGTATGTCTATCTGTCTGTCTATCTATCTGTCTGTCTGTCTATCTGTCTGTCTGTCTATGTCATTGTGTCTCCCTCTATGTTTTCGTTTATTTTTATATATATTTTTTTTTTTTTTTTTTTTTTTTCATTTATTCTCTTTCTTCTTTCCTACTCCATCTCCTCTTACTACTACTACTATCTGTCATACATACGTGTTAAAGAAACCGTAGGATATGTTAGTTAAGGCATAAAATTACCATAGAGTTATACCACACCAAGAATATATGTTAGCTAGACCTTTACTTTGACTTGTGATTTGATAATATATGAGTTTTCTACCCTCCCTCTCACCTACCTCCCTCCTCACCTCCTCCTCCCACCTACCTCCTCCCTCCACCTACCTCTCACCCACCTCCTCCTCACCTCCCTCCTCACCCACCTCCTCCTCACCTCCACCTCCTCCTCACCTCCTCCTCCACCTCCCTCTCACCTACCTTCCCTCCCTCTCACCTTCCCTCCCTCTCACCTTCCCTCCCTCTCACCTTCCCCTTCTCCTACAGAGTTGATTCCTGTGAGAGTAAGATGGAGATCGTTACTCCCTATTGGGCCACTAACTCTGCAGGCAAGACAAGAGCAGTGATTAATACGAACGAGTTCTCTCAAGCAATCCACCAGGAAGTGTGCGCGTGAGTATTACAGGTGGATGGATGAGTGGATGGACGAGTGGGTGGGTGTAGGTGGGTGGGTGGATATGGATGAGTGGGTGGGTGTAAGTGGGTGGGTGGATATGGATGAGTGGGTGGGTGTGGGTGGGTGTTTTTTTGGATGGGTTGGTGGGTGGATGAACGAATGGGTGGGTGGTTGGATGAATAAGTGGATGAATGTTAATATAGAACTAATTTAAATGAAGATAATTACATAATACAAAGATTTTAAAAATGTTAACTTTCTTACACATTCTTCTAATTAATTATTTCTCATTATATAACATTCATAAACATTATATAAGCATAAATACGTAACAGTAATATACGTACCTAAACAAAACCACATACTCAAACTCTTGAAATAATATGATCCGTTATAATCCGTTATAATCCGTTTTCTTTTTTAAATTCAAATTCAAACTGTTGTGGTAACGGACGTACATGATAACCGTCATAATAGGCGACCATATGTCATCAGCCCTCACCTACTGACTACCGGATGTTGGCTTTGAAGATTATTATGCTTAAGTCTATTTTGTGGACGTGTTCCTAACTCACCTCTGTGTGTGTGTGTGTGTGTGTGTGTGTGTGTGTGTATAAAGTTCATACGCTTATTATGTTGTCTATATATAACCTTATGTACTTAAACATTGTCATCATACACTATACAACCATACACTGTCATCATACACCATACAACCAAGGTTAATTGTCATCATACACTCATACAACCATACACTGTCATCATACACTCATACAACCATACACTGTCATCATACACTCATATAACCATACACTGTCATCATACACTCATACACTGTCATCATACACTCATACAACCATACACTGTCATCATACACTCATATAACCATACACTGTCATCATACACTCATACAACCATACACTGTCATCATACACTCATACAACCATACACTGTCATCATACACTCATACAACCATACACTGTCATCATACATTCATACAACCATACACTGTCATCATACACTCATACAACCATACACTGTCATCATACACTCATACAACCATACACTGTCATCATACACTCATACAACCATACACTGTCATCATACACTCATACAACCATACACTGTCATCATACACTCATACAACCATACACTGTCATCATACACTCATACAACCATACACTGTCATCATACACTCATACAACCATACACTGTCATCATACACTCATACAACCATACACTGTCATCATACAACCATACACTGTCATCATACACTCATACAACCATACACTGTCATCATACACTCATACACTGTCATCATACACTCATACAACCATACACTGTCATCATACACTCATACAACCATACACTGTCATCATACACTCATACACTGTCATCATACACTCATACAATCTCCCCCAACAGGAAACAGTCGACCAAGAGGTGTGGCGGCGACTGTATATGTGATCAGAAGTATAAGTGGCACCGCCTATTGGCTTACGACCCCGACAACGACTGCAGAGGCATCTTCATGGACTGGTTCCTGTTCCCATCCTGCTGTTCCTGCCGCTGTACTCCTCTCTAAGGCTGTCCTCTTGCTGTTCCTGCCGCTGTACTCCTCTCTACGGCGCCCTGCTGCTGTTTCTGTAGCTGTAATACAGTTTAAGGAGGTTTTTTTGCTGTTCTGAAGGCTGTTTTCTTGTCTCTAGCTGCTTCTGTTGCCCTTTTACTGTCTAATGCGGCTCTCTCTCTCTCTCTCTCTCTCTCTCTCAGCTTCAGTGGCCGATATTTTTCCTCTTCTCCTAATTTGTGTCCATTTTATTCCACTTCACTTCCGTTTTTTGTCCTTGTATTCATTCTTACTCCTTTTGTCATTGTCCCTATTCCTCTTTCCTTCGTTTTATCTCGTCTCTTGTCCTCTTGTCATTTCCCATATTCTTCCTTCCTTCTTTTTGTTCCAGATAAAGGCGTCCAATTCCTCTTACCTCCGTCTTTATTCTCATTATCCTTTTTTTGTCATTGAGTATTATTACAGAGACAGAAAAGGTTGCCAATTATTGTTTTGTTTTTTAATTTTATACACAACATGACTGTCCAGGGATCTTTAATATAAAGAGAATATATTGTGAATTTTGTTCCCTGGTATATAGTAAATAATTTGTTCTATGAGGAAATATATATTCTGGGTTTCAGTGAATGAATTAATTTGTGTCAGTTTCATCTATTTAAGTTAAATCATAAGTTAACGTAAAGTGAAAAAAAAAATATCAGTTCTCAATTATTTATTCATGTTTAAAAATATATTAATATTATCTATCTTTGCTTTGTGAGATTAAGCAACATATTGACTCAGACTCTTAGAGCAAATAGTTGTGAGGTAACTGATGTGATCTAACATTATTACCAACTTGTATTCCATGTTTATATTACGCGATGGTTATTTAATATACACAGAATTAATCATCAGGGACTTTTTTTTATTATATTTGTGTTTATAAATCTTTAAATTATCAAAGTAATTAACGATATTAAATGGATCCAGTTGATTGGCGGAGAAAAAAGTAATTAAAAGACACATGTGGTATACATTAGGTTGCTTGACATGGCAACACTGACAAAGGTGACTCCACCCTGACCAGATGTAAACATTATGACCAACAACTGAGGCTACGAACCTAAAACAAATATTTTTTCACATAAATTAAAAAAAAGAATTTGATTTACCATCCCCTCTTAACTTAGTGCTATAAATATGATATAGATAAGTCCTTACATATGATTTATGATAATTGAAATATATCTGAAATTAGACGAAATATACGGAAAAGTATTTGTTTTAGTTCTGGTCTTACTTGGAGTCGCCGAAGTCCCGCCACAAGCCAAGATAAACCCGTAGTTTATTTATTCATTTGTCTCTTTTTATAACTATATAAAACCACTAGAGGTCTTGGGTCTTGTACGCAGTATTTGGTCTCCTGTACAAGAACAAGACCACACATTAATTCAGCCTTATACAACAGAGACAATAATTCCATATTTTTTAATTAATTTCTGTTAACATATTATAGATATATGTATTAAAAAAATATATATAAAAAATACAACTAGATAGATTTTGTCTGTAAATTAGTTTAGGTTATTTAGATGTACATTTATTAAGAGTCCAGTAACACCATTTTTGACCAGTAAGATGTTTTGTATATAAGTTAAATACACTTTTGAGTTTATTCCTGAAAATATCTTAATTTTCTTGACCAATAAAGGGCATTCATTTTGTCTTACGAGCGTTTAATTATTTGTTCCTTTTTCTCTTATATGGTGAAAAAATAACGTATGACAGTTGTTATTGACGGTAAACTGGACAGCAGCTATAACTATAACAAGACACCGTACCACCTATCCACACCTATCCATCATGTCAACTCCTATCCACTCCTATCCACCATAACCACACTGTCCACCCTATCCACACCTATCAACTCCTATCCACTCCTATCCCCCATAACCACACTGTCCACTCTATCCACACCTATCCACCCTATTCACCATGTCAACTCCTATCCACTCCTATCCACCATAACCACACTGTCCACCCTATCCACACCTATCCACCCTATCCACCATGTCAACTCCTATCCACTCCTATCCACACCTATCCACCCTATCCACACCAATCCACACCTATCCACCACCTTTAATAAGACCAATTAGCCTCAATATATTACCAAATGAGTTAAGAATACCATGAGGTGAACAAAATGTGCTCTACGGAGGTGATGAAACACTGAACCCTTTAAGTGAACCAACGAAGCACCACATAAACCCAGGCCTTGAGGTGATGAAACACTGAACCCTTTAAGTGAACCAACGAAGCACCACATAAACCCAGGACTTGAGGTGATGAAACACTGAACCCTTTAAGTGAACCAACGAAGCACCACATAAACCCAGGACTTGAGGTGATGAAACACTGAACCCTTTAAGTGAACCAACGAAGCACCACATAAACCCAGGACTTGAGGTGATGAAACACTGAACCCTTTAAGTGAACCAACGAAGCACCACATAAACCCAGGACTTGAGGTGATGAAACACTGAACCCTTTAAGTGAACCAACGAAGCACCACATAAACCCAGGGACTGAGGTGATGAACACTGAACCCTTTTGAACCAACAAGCAACCCACTGAACCAACGAAGCACCACATAAACCCACTTGAGGTGATGAAACACTGAACCCTGAACCAACGAAGCCTGAGGTGATGAAACACTGAACCCCTTTAATGAAACCCAGGCCTGCACCCCATAAAGTTTACTTGGTGATGAAACGTAACACCACATAAACCCAGACTTGAGGTGATGAAACTGAACCCACAACGTGAACCCCAGTGAACCAAGAAGCACTTGAGGTGATACACTGACTTGAGTGTGTGACGCACCCACCATGAACCCCAGAAGCAGGCTGTGATGAAACACTGAATGAAGCACTGAACCCTTTAAGTGAACCAACGAAGCACCACATAAACCCAGGACTTGAACTTGAACTTGTGGGAACTATAAACACGACATTTCGTGTTTTATCAAAGAAGACGAGTTGGGACGACAGAAGAAAACGACAAAGGGCAACCACGACACAAGGACAACGACACGACACAAGGACAACCACGACATAAGGACAACCACGACACAAGGACAACCACGACGCAAGGACAACCACGACACAAGGACGACAACTACGACAACCACGACACAAGGGCAACCACGACATAAGGACAACCACGACATAAGGACAACCACGACACAAGGACAACCACGAAACAAGGACAACCATGACACAAGGACGACCACGACACAACGACGACCACGACACAGGGACGACCACGACACCCTTCCAATCTTAACAAGTCGTACAAGAGTCTTCGGTAACTATGTGAGGTAAGGAATTGTACAGGTAATAGTAATAGTAATGGTAATAGTAACAGGATTAACTATTGCCAGAAGTGTAATTAGTAGCAATAATTGGTTTGAACAAAATGACAGATTGACAGACAGAATTATAGACTGAGAAACAGACAGACAAGTAGATTGATAGATAAAATGACAAGACAGACACACGGATAGTTAGTATGACAGAGATCAATAGACAGATAAACAGACATAAACTGACAGACAATAGACAGATAAGACTACAAGATAAGACTACAAGATAAACAGACAGATAAGACTACAAGACAAACAGACAGATAAGACTACAAGATAAGACTACAAGATAAACAGACAAACAGACAGATAAGACTACAAGACAAACAGACAGATAGACTACAAGACAAACAGACAGATAAGACTACAAGACAAACAGACAAACAGACAGATAAGACTACAAGACAAACAGACAAACAGACAGATAAGACTACAAGACAAACAGACAGATAAGACTACAAGACAAACAGACAAACAGACAGATAAGACTACAAGACAAACAGACAAACAGACAGATAAGACTACAAGACAAACAGAAAAACAGACAGATAAGACTACAAGACAAACAGACAAACAGACAGATAAGACTACAAGACAAACAGACAGATAAGACTACAAGACAAACAGACAAACAGACAGATAAGACTACAAGACAAACAGACAGACAGGCAGATAAGAATTACAAGACAAACAGACAGATAAGACTACAAGACAAACAGACAGACAGGCAGATAAGACTACAAGACAAACAGACAGACAGGTAGACTACAAGACAAACAGACAGGATAAGACTACAAGACAAACAGACAGACAGGCAGATAAGACTACAAGACAAACAGACAAACAGACAGATAGACTACAAGACAAACAGACAAACAGACAAACAGACAAAGAGGTAAGGAGACTCGAGGTGATTCACAGACCAGTTAATGAGTCATAGGTGAGCTTACCTGGCTAGTGGCTGAGCTGTGTGTGTGTGTGTAGTGTTTTTTATGTGTATGTGTATGTGTATGTCTGTGTCTGTGTGTGGTGTTTTTGTATGTGTATGTGTGTGTCTGTGTATGTGTATGTGTGTGTGTGTGTGTGTGTGTGTAGTGTTTTTGTATGTGTATGTGTGTGTGTGTGGTGTTTTTGTACGTGTATGTGCACCATTTTAGTGTGTGTGTGTGTTAAAGTCGTTCATTCAATAAAACACAGTAAATACCAGAACTCCCCAAACTAACGTATGCATCACCAGCCTGGTCGTCTTCTCTCAACTCCACCCAACAACGTCAGCTAGAGAAGGTACAGAAAAGGGCCTGCAGATTCATACTCGGCGCAGAATACTCCGGCTACACCAACGCTCCCTCCACCCTGGAAATGCCATCCCTCAGTCACCTCCACCACCAAGCACTGGAAAGGTTTGGCAGCCAACTACTGCACCACCCTCGTCATCTCCACCTCCTGCAACCTGCAGCCCCCCACCCAACTCGCGCAGTCCGCTACTACAACAAAATTCAGCCCATAAGAGCCCGCACCGATAGATATAAGAACAGCACCATCCCATCTATTGTTAAAATAATAAACAACTCCTGATTTATGTACTGTACAGCCCTGTAAATGTATTCAACGCATATTATATCATTATGTCTAAATCAAATGTAAGTCTGTATATTTTCAGCCACCGACTGCAACTCTATTAATAAACCGTTTATTATTATTATTATTATTATTATTATTAACTATGAAGATTCGGAAATATTCTCGAACGCTGTGTGTGTGTATGTGTGTGTGTGTGTGTGTGTGTGGTCGTGGTCATGGGCGTGAATGATGCGCCGCACATTACCACTGGATGGGCGTCGCCTAATTGAACCTCAGCAAGTGGATTGTGTAAGTGGGCGTAAGCGACCAATAGAGGCCCCTTATTAGGATGAGCAACATGGTCCATTCAGCTGACTCTGTAATGACATAGTATATGACGTAGTATATGACGTAGTGGCTGACGATATGATGGCATAGTTGAAGACGATGTGGGTTAGAGGTTCAAATCCTATTCTCTGTATGATGACGTTTCAGTGACGCAGTTGGTGAGGTATCCAATCTCTGGCGTGTACAGGTTATGACGTGTCAGTGAGGTAGGCGGCTGTGGTTTTGGACTGGTTTCGTGGTTAAGTTTTGAAGAATGTTGAATGATGTGTTGTCAAGGAAGAGAGTGGTGTTAACTCTCTCTCTCTCTCTCTCTCTCTCTCTCTCTCTCTCTCTCTCATACTGTATGCCTCATCGTTCTTTAAATAAACTTAATTCCTCCTCCTCCTCCCCCTCCTCCTCCTCCTCCTCCTCCTCGATTTTATCATATAATCGACTATGAAAACTTAAATAACAACAACGAACACAAAAACTACATAAACATTAAATAACAAATAAATAAATAAAACAAATACACAGAATTACACAACAAATAACTATACACCAGGATATACACAAAGAAAATTATTAATAACAAAAACTTTCAGGAAATTTAGAGAAAAAAAATAAAAAAAATCCCGTTTCCAAGTCTTACACAAACCCTCCTTCGAGTGACACTTCCGTCCGTATGTCCTCAACTTAGGGGTAATTAATTGTTCTGACGTTGGAAACTAATCTCTTTGTGTTTTACCTGTGTGTGTGTGTTAGTGGTGGCTTCCGCTCTGGTTTCATTTGAGGAAGTACTGTGTTTGTGTAAGTATAGGTGGGGGGAGAGGATAGGTAGGGGGAAGAGAGGGGATAGGTGAGGAAAAGATGGGAATAGGTAGGGAGAAGAAGGGAGGGGGAATAGGGAAAACACGTGGGTTTGTTTACATCAACACATCCAGGTTTCCATCGTGTCTTCCGAATACAAATACAACACTTCCGGTTCACACACTGAGGGCGGAAGACAAGACACGTGTTGGGGTAAGGTGTGTGTGTGTGTGTGTGTGTGTAATAATAATAATATACAGTTTATTAATAAAGTTGCAGCCGGTGGCTGAAAATATACAGACTTACATTTGATTTAGACATAATGATATAATATGCATTGAATACATTTACAGGGCTGTACAGTACATAAATCAGGAGTTGTTTATTATTTTAACAATAGATGGGATGGTGCTGTTCTTATATCTATCGGTGCGGGCTCTTATGGGCTGAATTTTGTTGAAGTGGCGGACTGAGCGAGGTGGGCGGGGGACTGCAGGTGGCAGGAGGTGGAGATGACGAGGGTGGTGCAGTAGTTGGCTGCCAAACATTTCCAGTGCTTGGTGGTGGAGGTCACTGAGGGATAGCATTTCCAGGGTGGAGAGA